CCCTTTTTTTTTTTTTTTTTTTTCTCTCTCTCTCCCCCGCCCCACTGCAGATCACCCAGGACCAGCGGGGGAAGGAAAGTCCATCGCGGATGCAGCCCGGCGGGACTCAGCATTGATTGGAGGTGGCTTCCAGCTGTCACATTATGAGCAAGGGTGACATCTAGCCCAGAGGGGTATTCCAGAGCGGTCCCCCACTTCCCAAGCGCCGGGTGGGGGGCATGGAGTCATTGGAGACTTTGTTGTTGTTGTTAAGTGATGTCCAGTCGGTTTTGACTCATAGAGACTCTGTTTGGGAGTCCTAGTGTGGCGCTGTAGGATTATCACTAGACTGCTAACCAAAAGGTCGGAGGTCCAAACTCACCATCCATTCCTCTGAAATCCTATACAAGGTCACTATGAGTCAAAAGCGACTTTACAGCACTTAAAACAATAACATAGGGTTTCCAAGGTTGGTTTCAGTGGTCAGCCTTGTAGTTAGCAGTCCAGTGCTTATCCTACAGAGCCATACCAAAATTTCCATAATGGGGTGCTTTGGTGAAATCCACTAGTTATACTGATGTATCCATTCGGGACATGACCAGAATAACTGAATCAGTTTCTTTGGAGACATCAGTTAACTAGTTGATTTCAGCAAAACATCCCATTAAGGATTTATTGCAAAACATCTAATGAAAAGCCTTAAATTGCAAATGATTACGTGGATTCTCCAAGGGTGTTGCCTGTTTAAGGATATAGTGTTGGGAATCTTTGGGGGTTGATAGTCAGTGCTCACATTGGACAGAAAACAGACCACTGTTTGACCCTGTTTGATTTAGATAGCGCTAGTGCATCTTTTCTCCTTTTATCTTGATGTCAATGGTACAGTGGTGAGGATTTTTTTTTTTACTTTTCATTGAGATTCAATCCATACCTAGACTGTGGTCTTTGATCTTCATCAGTAAATATTTTAAGTCCTCTTTGCTTTCATCTGGCAAGGTTGTATTATCTGTATAACACAAGATGTTAATGAGTCTTCCTCCAATCCTGATGGCACACTTTTCTTCCTATAATCCAGCTTCTCAAATTATGTGTTTAGCATACAGATTGAATAAGTATGGTGAAAGAATACAACCCTGGCACACACCTTTCCTGATTTTAAACCATTCATTGTTCCCTTGTTCAGTTTGAACAATTGCCTCTTGGTCTTTGTACAGGTTCCTCGTGAGCACAATTAAGTGTTCTGGAATACTAATTCTCTGCAATATTGTCAATAGTTTGTCATGGGCCACACAATCAAAAGCCTCTGCATAGTCAATAAAGCACAGGCAAACATCTTTTGGGTATTCTTTGCTTTCAGTCAAGGACTATTTGACATCAGCAATGATAGCCATCATACCATGTCCTCATCTGAATCCAACTAGAACCTCTGGGAGTTCTAAGGTCAATTTTCTGTTACAGCCATTTAAAACTTATCTTTAGCAAACATTTACTTACATGCAATATTAATGATATCATCCAATGATTTCTTCATCTCGTTGGATCACCTCTCTTTGGAATGGACACAAATATGAATATCTTCCAATCAGTTGGCCAAATCTTCCAAATTTCTTGGCATAGATGAGTGAGTGCCTCCAGTGCTGCATCAGTTTGAAAGATTACAATTTGTATTCCATCAATTCCTGGAGGCTTGTTCATTGCCAATGCCTTCAGTTCACCTTGGACTCTTCCCTCAATACCATTGGCTCTTGATCATATGGTAACTCCTGAAATGGTTGAACATCGACCATTTCTTTTTGGTACAGTGACTCTGTGCATTCTTTCCATCTTATTTTGATGCTTTCTGCATCATTCAATATTTTGCCCAGAGAAATATTCAATACTGCAAGTCGAGGCTTGAATTTTTCCTTCAGCACTTTCAGCATAAGAAATATGAAGTGTGTTTTTCCTATTGGGTTTCCTAACTCCATGTCTTTGCATATTTCTTTATAATATTTTATTTTGTTTTCTTAAGCTTCCCTTTGAAATGTTGTGTACATCTGTTTTACCTCCTCATTTCTCCCATTTGCTTTAGCATCTCTACACTGGAAAGCAAGTTTCAGAGTCTCTTCTGATATCCATTTTGGTCTTTT